ACTCAGAATCTATAATATTACGGCTGTCTTTTTTCTTGTAAATATCTTTTTTACCAGCAATTTGGCTCTAATTTATAATGATATCATTTTTTCTGAAAGGAAATCTGACTGGGAAGGTACTTTGAGTTGGCAATGTTCCGATTTCCTCAAGTGATTTCACAGAAAATGTGAAAAACCGGAAAAACATGGGAAAACTGTGAAAAACGAGAAAATTGGTACAATACTACAATTTTAAACAAATATTTTTAAAGAAAATATATTATACCTATTTAATTATTTGTTTGTTGAAAATGTATCATTATTAACTGAACTCTGCTCAGAATCGTTTTATGGTGTATCGTTGTTTACAGATTATACATTTAATTTCCTTCTGTATCCTACCTTCCCAACATCCCACCTACAACCTGTCCCCTTTATCCTAGGACAGTTTCTTTTTAATAATTTTTGTATAATGTTTTACCTATTTTCCTGCTCTCCCGTTTTCCCTCGTTTTTTCCAATACATTGAGAAAATCGAAAAATGACCTCCAGTCACAAACTTTGATTTTTAGAGTGGTCTCATACTTGTAAATTCATTGAAATTCATAAATTTTGTATGACAAAAATACTATTATTATAATTGTATTTATTATTTATTATAGATACTTTGTTATTTATTTTATTTATTGTTTTTTAAACTGAACACACAAATGTTGGATCAATTTTATTTTATTAGATTTCCCTTAAAAAAAAAAAAAGTAAAATAAAATTACATTGAACTTTTATTGAAATTCAATTTCTTTCTTTTTACTTTTTTTTTTTTTTTAAAATCTAAACGGTTCATAAAAGCCTAAGGGACTTACGGTTAAACGAACGCGACTATTAAAAATAATCTAACCGAATCTGAAATAATTTGAAATTTCACATAGATTCTGTATTTTTCTCTGGCGACTAAATCTGAAACAGAACGTTGACAGAACGTTTTTTTTTTTAATAAAAACGAAATAATTTTGTTTCCATAGTTTCTTGTTTACAATCTACGGTTAAAAAAAAATTAAAAATATTTTTTTTATTTTTCTGAGCAATTCATCTAATTTTTCTTTTCATAAACATTTGTTTTAGGGTTAAACGAATATTTAAAAAAAAAACAGCCAAATCGGTTCAGCCATTCTCAAGTTTTGAGCTTACTAACGTTTTGAGCGATTCATTTTTATTTATATAGATTACCAAATTTATCTTAGAATAATAATGATCAAGCCCAAAATCAAATCATACTACATCGTACTACATTTCATACTGCTATATTATATTATTATTTATTTTAATATATAAAAACAAGCTGTTCCGCACGTCTTTGCTCGTGTACAGTACTAAACCGAAAACAAAAATAAAAACGTGTCTCTCTATGTTTTCCTAATAATAATTTTTTTTTTAGATTTCATCCAAGTCCCCAAATTAACCAGTAAATAAACAAAAAATGATATAAAAAACACAATAAAATTTCTGTCAGCCACTCTTAACTAAAAGACTGGGCCTTTAGTGGTTGAATTTCGGAAAAATGGCTTCGAGGTACCATCCATTTGCTTCTGTATATAAATTGTTAGACCATTGTATATGATTTATTCGACCGTGCATAATGCGCACAAACACAGAGCCAAAGATTTTTTTTACTAATATAGAGCGGTAGAACAGGCGTGAAGAGTATTCTGATTATACATCATTGATTTCGACTAGGACTTCAGTGTCTCACTTGTCCCAGTCTTTGTCTCTATCACTGTCCCATATTAATATTGGAGGTATATTAAATTGCAATCAGATGTCTAGATCATATGCTTAGATAGACGTGGTTAATTAGTATATTTATTAGGGACCGGATTTGTAAGCACGAAAAACCCTCAAATATGCTTCTAAAAATGATTTAATGTGCTATAAAATATGTACTTAATTATGCACTTAAAATTTTGTTTAAAATTATGTAAAATTATGTAAAATGCATGTATATGTAAATGTATTATGTAAAATTATCTAAAAATAAGTATTAATTAATACGGTATTAAAACAAGTATAAAAAAGCTTTGAAAGTATTTTGTCGTCTTCGTCTAAAAAATTTAATTCATATTTTTCCTTATTGCATTGGATTGGACTATATGAGATATGAGTATGTAATCTTATCTTTGGAAATAACGACCGGTTGAAATTTTTATTATAATTTTATTTATTGAATCAATTTTAAATTGGTCTTTCGAAATTGTATCAATATTATATGGTTACAGCCACGTGAAAATACGACGAAAAACGAATATACGAGTATGTGCTATAAATAAAAATATGCACTATAAAACTACAAATATGCATTCAATATGCATTTAATAGGGAAAAACGTTGACATATGCAAAATATGCAAAATAAAATGAGTGTTATTTTAATAAGAATGATCTAAATCGGGGACAATGCTCATCAGATTTCAAAAAGCTTATTCCAATACATATATGCATTTGCATATAAATTCGGTTCCTAATCATTACTATTCCTTATTTTTAGCGTTTCTGTAATTTCACGACTCGCGTATACGTATATTTATATAGCAACGTATAGGACGTAAATAAAGATGTTCAATGTAAATTATGTTATGTAATGTATGCTTTTATCTATAAATTAAATGTTTGTATATCTATATGTAAAAATTACTCATACTTATTAAATATAGTCATGATGACTTACACTAATAAAGGTATGTAACTTTTAAGTTTTAACAAACTTGATAAAAGTAAAACATAAAATAAATAAATACTATGAGTAAATAGGTACCGAAACTGCGAAGTCTTATTTTTGTATCCTAAATATTATATACTAGCAAACTGCAGTGACACAATCAGGAATTTTTTTTTGTAGGGGAGGAGGGCATGGTATCCAAAAAAGTTGTGACTGCTCATGGGTAGACCATTATTGCTGGCGGGTATTGGAATTTTGGAAAGGTATAAGATATACAGGGTAAAATTTAGTTTGTATACTAATAAATCATTGTAAACGAAAAAACGTCTCTCGTTACTTACTTTACTATTTGAATTCAAAAATATTATAAAGAATTATGATGAGTATAAAATCCATACAATTTAAAATGCAATATTTAAAAGTAGAAGATTATAGAATATAGACGAAGAGCAATTAAAATTAGACATTTTAAAATAATTTATTTTTTAACGATGTATTACTAAATTAAAAACAGATTCATTTATTATTATTTGATTTGCCAAAATAGAATAAGAATGCACACTCTATTTAGTCTTTATTATGTATTGGGTCAGACATTTTTTTCCTAAAATATATCGAGTCATATATTATGTTGGTTTTGAATAAACTCGTTATCCTATATTCCGATAGCGTTAATATCGGCCGATATACGATATCTGCTTATGCTAATATTCTGCACCACTGTACCACTAAAATACGAAAATAAAAAAATACAATGAAATTATTAGCAAATGTTTTCAAGGCTGTTGCGGTATTCCTCGGGTCAAAAAGAAGCTCGAAAAAAAAATATTGCAGGTGTAGGTACCTAGTGTTAATTATTGTATTTTTGACGCAGTGTTTCGTGGTTTTCTATAACAAGAGGTTATAATTTCTTTGTATACATTAACTAGTTTTAGATTTTTATTCCAACGTTTTATACATTTTATTAACATCAAAATTACTGTTCTCAAATTTTAGATTCTAAGTGAAACATTGGCGTAACTACACTGCAAACTTCGAAGATGCTAAAATTATGAACATATACAAATCCCACGGGGGCTATGCGCTACAATCCTCTTTATAGAAAAACTGTATTTTGTTCTGCTCATTAATTATAAAATAAACGGATAAAATATTTAGTCGTTAATATAAAAAAGCCGATGTGGTTTTTGTAGGTATGCTAAAGACTCCATTTATTTTACTATGATGTATGTTTTTCATTGTTTTTTACATTTTTCTGTTTGTGAACAACTTTTCAACTATCTTGCTTCGATTTTTAAGTACCAGTTTTCCGAATTTTATTAGTTTTATTTAGTTTTATGAATATACAATTATTTTGTTTGATCAGAAATACTTGGAAATTTAACACAAGGTTCATTGTAAACTTAGTGGTCAAAAAGTCGAGCGTAATATAAACTGTAGAAGTTTTTTTTAATTTGCGCTTAATGCAGGGTTTCAAAATGTTATTCATAACGTTATAGCGGAAAAATTTGACGAAATAAATAAACGTAAATTAAACTAAAAATGGAAAAAATCGAACATATTAAACATAGCTAATGATTAACAATAAACAATAAACGTAACTGTAATGTGAAAAATTACTTAATATAGTTATCACGTGTTAATATTATTTAATATTATAATATTATAATTGCAAACAATTTTATTCCAAATAACGTTAGTGGTTTTTTATTTTTACGTAAAACTTTATACTTTATAGATATTAATAATTCAAAATTAGTTAACCTGTGTTAAAAATAAATTATATTTTCCGAAATATTATATTGCTGATTTATTTGTAAATTACGAAAAAGGTAGAGATGGAGTTCACACGGAGATACAATAACCTTAAACATTAAAATTGTATAAGGTTTAAATACCCGAAAACGTAAAAACGATATTGTTTTTTTTATAAATTTAAGCCCTGGTTTAAAGTTAAATTTTAATGGAAATCGAACAAATTACGGGATATCAAAATGTGTTTTATCGGACTTCGCTCAGAATTGTTTTTCGTTAGCAACGAGTACGGTAATAATAAACGTAATGATGAATTATTGCGGACAGAGATAAATTTAATAAATCATTATTCTGGGTATCCTGTGTTCCCAATCTCTCACCTTTAAGAGTGACACAACCATGCTCTTTTTTTTTTAAACATTTTGAAGTGAATTTAATATTGAAAGATTCAATCGTGAAATATTTTAAACTTTTTCTTCTTCTTCTTGGGTATTAGTAGCCCTTAGGACCATCCCGTTATGCAACCAATCCTTCAACTCTTCCTGTCAGTCGCTCCTAATACCAGTCCAGACCTTCACCTAGAGATTCCATGTCTGTCCTCAATACGTCTTCCCATCTCAAACGGTGACATTCAAGAGGTCTTTTCCCATTAGGATTCTTTGCCATCAACTTGCGCAATAGTGGGTTCTGACTGTACTATGCGTGACCCACCTCATGCAATTTTCTACTTTGGATTGTACTTAATATGTTAGGTTTCTGGAAGAGTTTCTTTAATTCTTTATTTTTTCTTTTTCTCCATTCGGCAGTTTTCTCGTCTTTCAGTATACCAAATATTTTTCTTAGAATTTTTCTCTCTAAAACAATGATTTTTTTTCTTCAGTTTTGCTTAATATCAATGTTTTTGTTCCGTATGTAATTATATTAAGTGCAAAAGTGTAATACAATAGATAGTAGTATTTTCATTTATTTCGACAGTGACCGTCACTCCAATATTTTTGTAAATCCGTAAAAACATTTATTTCCCGACAGAATCCTTGATCTAAAAATATTTTAATATTTTAATCTAAAGTCAGTATTAACTTAGTTTATTTTAAAAACAGTTGAATAATCAGCCGTAAGTTTTAATAGCGGTGTAGGATCTACATTTGTTTTCGTAAGAATATTGTCAATTATATTTTGTTGTTATAAAAAAAAAACCATTGCTTCGAAAGTGCATTTATTTAATTGTAACTTTTATGTGTAATCAGGATATAAATTAGATTCAATGACTTATTATAAGACAACTTTTGTATTTAATCCCTATAGCTATTATGGTTAACTTTCAAATATCTGTTATCTTATTCCACTCTTTGTATCTTAACGTTTCTCATGTGATTTTTGTAAAATATGTTTTCTCAGAGAATTTTCGTTGCCTCGTTTTAAGGATTGGATTTATAACTAATTATCGGGACCATATTACAAACCCAATTTTACATGGTCGGCAACATTTTGTAAGACAACTCTAATATAAGTAATTTTTTTTTTACCAATTTATGTATTGGGATAACAATACGTTGTAACGTAAAATTATTAAAAACGAATAAAATATAAGGCATATCTAATGTACCCCCTTCCCAAATGCACCAACATAAAGGCTGTCTTGTCATTTTTTGATTAGGGCAAGATTTCTGGTGGAAAAGTTATTCATAGGCATACAACAATAAATAGTAATAATAAATAAGCACACATTATAGTAAAACATTAATAATATATAATCTATAATTTCAGAATCTAAAAGATCGAATAATAGTAATTTTACTCGTCTGTCGTTGAATACTCACTTCGCTTTATTTCTTACCTTTGGTACTATATGCAATATGTATAATCATTAATCATTGCACATCTCCCGCCGTAACGAAAAAGGTTGTTTCTACTTTTTTCAACTTCTAATATATAATAATTTCTTCGGACGACTAGATAACTAGGTACCTTAAAGATACGACCTTTTTTATTGTGACATGCGGTATATGGTGTAAATAAAGACGTTCAAATGAAATAATTAAGGACGTGTATTCGAAAGCAATTCTAATATAGTGCAAGAGATAGTTAGAATTAATTTAAAAAGCGTTCTTATTTTGTTTACTAGTCGTTTTTTAAGTTTTTCGGAATTTTATAAATGCATCGACCAGGGAAATGTTAAAAATTACAACTTTAAAACTATACTACCTATATCTGGACTTCAAACTGCGCAGTTAAATTAAATATCTACGTAAAACTTTTTGAGTTCCAAAATATGTTGGCCAAAAAAAAAATCGTTATTGTAAAAAAAATACCTGGTGTTATAAATACAAATGTTAAATGTTATTAATACCCGGGTAATTTTTTTCTTAAATTTTTCGAAAATAATTGTATTATATTACTTATTATCGATACGCGTTACGCATAGGTACTATTTAACTAAATAATAAATATTATCTTATAGCTAGGTATATTAAATTGTCTAACATATCTGTAGATGTCGGAATTTAAAACGTTTTCTTTGAAAAAAGTTTATTTACGAGTATTTCTACACATCTATTTAACATATCGTGAATTTAAATATGTAAATCCCGATGCCTTCGAGGAGATGATGGTACATGGAAGCACTTGTTTGTAAATTATATGAGACGCCACGAGATAACGATTTAGGGTCAAACGTTGTCGTGCGTGCGGGGCGACACAACCGCAAAGTAACACCCTCTCGTCCCCGACTATATAGTACTGTGTTGAAACAAAGCTCTCTCTCTCTCTCTCTCTCTCTCACTCCTCCAGCTACCCTCTCCTATCCTTTACACCCGGGAAAAGCACTTAAATGATATTTAATTATACGCTGTCAACTGACAGGCAATTTATGAATATCCCCTACAATAGACAAGTAAAAGTGCATATTTTATATATTATAATATATATTTATGTGTAGCGTAAATAATATAATATATATATATATATATATATATACGTGTAAACCAAATAAAAATTATCCAGACTCGGTAACAGTCGACATATATATGTATAGGTACACAGCAGGTTCGTTATGATAAAAGTCGGGACATTTCTGTTGACTTTTTGAAAATTTAACTTTTAAAGTCAATTTTTCTTGTCGCTGCAGGAATATCTAAGATTCGCATCGTTGTTTCGGCTCGTCGTTTGGTTACTTTTTTTTTGTTCTTCAAACAAACACCAGCCGGAAAAATAACAATTTGTTTAATTTTTAATTAAAACTTAATGAAATACTTGAACCGTTGAACCGAATAAAAAAAAAAAGGAAATAAAAAAGAAATAGGGAAATCGCAATATAATTTTAATTAAACAATAATAAGTTACGAATTGTATTAATCGTTATTTTACTTATATTTGTTACCGTGATTCTATAGATTATAATATCGTATTATATTCAAAAATAACGTAATAGCCAATAGGTATTATTAAATATTATAAGCATAACGAATTATTTTATTATATGCAATATTGCGATACCTATGTATTGTAAAACTACACAGATTTTATCAATTGGTGTTGTTTTAGAATCTAAAGTATTGCGGTAGGTGTCTAGGTAGGATTAAATAGATATTAACTAGGTTTATCAATTATTTCCGTTTGTTAAAAGTATTCTTAGTATGGATAATGAGCAAGATGTCCTATTTTTTTTCCTGTACATTATTTCACTTTTGGTAGTATTTTTGTTTGTTTGTATTTTTAGGTAAAAACCAAGTGTAAGAACTGACTTTTATTTTTTTGGACTTCTACGGGACATTAACCAACCCTCTTTCAGATAACACGCGGTGGCACCCATTCACAATCAGCACAAAATTACCCGGACGTTCATAAATTATGAGTGCGTTTCTACTACCCAGTTCTCAACCGGTCGTTTGCTCATCCTCCAACCCCTTCCATCGGTACCCTGTTTAATTTGTTATTATGTTAATTACACGCAGTGGCTATAACTGCCTCCTACCATCCCAACCACCACATTATGATATTTACGTCACCGGTGTGCGTAAGTTGGTGTTTGTTTGTTTTAAATGTGAATTCCTATAGAAAGCATGGAGTAAGTACACGAGTCATACATTTTGTAAATTATGAGCGAAATAAATTTGGTTTGAATAAAATATTACTTGTGTTATATACATTAGATGGCGGGTAAAATTTCTAAAAATATTATTATGATTATTATCCGAATCATTGGAGTAAATAAATATTCGATCATTTATTCGAGAAATTGTAAAAATTAAGTGGTCTTATGATCTTATGATAATACATAGTAGGTATTTAATATTTTTCTGTACAAATGTTGTATAATATATTGTTATTTTTGTGTATCTGTTTAATCAATTAGAAGGAAAATTATTTGTTACAGAATGTATTTTATATGTTTGTGTTAATTTTTTATTATATTTGGATTTGGTAGTTTTAGAAATTCTGTTTGGAAAAACAATAAATATCTATATAGTATTTATTACTGTAAAAATATTGTATAGATGTTATGTTACTTATTTTATTTTATATTAAGTTAGTTGTAATATATATATATATATATATAGATATTTTTGATTAAAATAATTATTTGTGTTTGTTTTATAAAAATATAATGTCATATAACTTACTTTGGTATCACATTTCCATCATAGTTCAGTTGCTGTTACCAAGCACAAAATGGTATACCCACTAAACTTAATACACCTACACTAAAATTGATTTTTGTTTTTCAACTAAGTTTTTATTAAAAATAGGTAGGTACATTTTGTTTACATAGAGTATCTAAAAAGTTAGCAAATAGTTCTACGCTGTATGGTCATAAAAAAAATAAAAAATGTTTCCAAAGTTTTCAAATACTGTGGTTATGCAAAACCCGTTTTAAAATAGCTTGTTAGATACAAATTAATACCTAGTGTAAAAATACATTTACGAACTAAAAAGATCCGAGTAATTAAATCTTAAAAGTCGAGTTAGAGAACCTTATAATGTATGCTTTATACAACACTAAATTTATTAATTTTTAAATATTTAAAAAAGAAATGTTTCATGATATTATACAAAAATTATCATATACACGTTTGTGTAGTTTAAATTTAAACGCCGTTTATTTTATTACACATTTTTACAATATATATAAACTTATCCAAATAGTTAAAACGAACAAAGAATATTTGTAGTTTATAGTACCGGATGTTTCATATAGGATATCATCAATCCATTTTTGATAATTATAGACAAATAAAAATCTTGTTTGAACACGAGAATCACCGCATTTGATTTTCAAGTCACCCATTCCAGGATAATAATTATAACCGTGACTAGTTATACCGAACAAATATCCTTGACACATTAAAGCACCTCCACTATCTCCAATGCATGTCATGCGATTGTCAGGTACAGCACACAGAAATTCCTTCCAAGTTTGTTCAACAAAATCGTTTATGAATTTACTATAACAATTCAAATAAATAATTATTATTTAATTATTTTCGAACGAATGGTCCGAAGAAAGTAAATACTTATCTGGTGGCACCTCACAAGCATCGGGCCCGTATTTTACTCGAACAGGTGCTACATTTGCCATGTCTGTTGGGTAACCGAATTCATTAAAACCCCAGCCTAATATGATACAAGTTAACGTTGTTTCGTTTCCGAAAAGCTCAGGACTAGGATACCCAGAGACCATTGCATAGCTGGTAATATTTCTGAATGGTGCGTTTATCTAATGGAAAAATGATAAATTATTAATATTAAATAATTTAAAATTCTATATTATATACAACAATCGTATTTAATTTATATCAAGTAAATAGGTACGTCTGAAGTTGAAAGTTATTTTGAAAAGAATTTTAGGTGAAATATACATATTTTTCGTTCGTTTTGATATTTTCTGAAGGAATTTGTTCAGAATATGAATTAAAAAAAAAAAAAAACTTCTTAAATATAATGATAAATGCCTTAAATGTTTTCATACATTTAAACAGCGGATTTTTGGAATACATTTCTTTATTATTTTCAAGTTTACCTAAAAATTAGATTAATTTAGATTTTGAACATAGTGAGTAGCGTAATGATTTTAAAGTGACGGATTTTTGTGTCTGTGCTTTGTATTCATTTTTAAAACTATTTCCACTATTTTATTTGTCGCTATTATGTCTACCCACTTTTGGTTAATAGGTATCTAATATTCATTTCCTTATTTATCTCATGTAAGTTTTTATTTTATAAATGCCTTGGAACGAATTGTATATACTTATTATTTATTATTAAAATTATTATAGTTATTGTTACATATTTCATTTATTTTAGATCCATTTTCCAAAACCGCGTTTGAATGAAATGTCATTTGTTTAGATAGTTCCATTCTAGTTATTTTTTGTGAATCCACCTCAATATCTTCATAGTTATCAAATTTTGATTTTAATAATCTTGATATTATAATTAAAAATAATTCTGATACATTTTCAAAATTTTGTAGTATAGGTATATTCCTTGTACCATAGTAAATATAAATTCGACTCAATTTCTTACATACCTATAAGGTATGTATAGGTACTATAGGTACATATTATATGAGATTGCGGTAATAAATCTTTCAACCTTAGAAACTGTAAACTTATTCCTTACTCTTTAGTTTGGTATTATATTATGTTCGTAAATCTCTCATAGTGTTTTCCTTTGTATAATTCACCAAATTAAAATACTGACAAAAGCACAGTTCTCACAAACATAAGATGTCTGACTACCTTAAAGGGTATTATAACAATATTACCTATCCTTATCTATTACATTTACAAGTAAAAAAAAGGAAATGGCAATTAAGTTTAAAATACCATAAGTATGTCTTAGAAAATGAAATAAAATATTTATATAAATTATTTTGCCGAATTATAATGCAGGCATTGACAATTTATCAATACATATAGTACAGGTGATTCATTAAGCCTTCTCACACCATTTTTATCGTTGAATTTTGTGTTTTCAAATTTTGATTTTTGAAATTTCTAAGTGTATTCAAAGTCGATATTTTCGAATACTTAGATTTTTCACAACATTTAAGAAGGTGATATTGAATTTGGTTTTTCAAACGAGAATCTACATGTTTTAATGGAAATTGTAAATCAGATGATTTTCTTACGATATAGATGTATTGTAATTGAAATTTGAACGAAAAGTTTCCAAGTTATTCTACTTTAAAATACTAAGGATGACAGTCTAAAAAGCATAATAATAACACACACCAATTATTGGTATGTAACTGTGGCGGCACGACGAGTGTCGTTTTAATAGCGTTCCCACCGGGTTAACGAAAATCGAAAATGTCAATACCTAACCTACCTCAATTTGTTTATGGAATTTTTGATATAGGTTATCTGTTGGAAAACTAAAATTGGTATCACTATAGGATACTCATTAAGGCTTAAATACTGTCAAATTCTAAGTATCTGAAAATAACAGTTTTGACTTCGCGTCTACACTTAAAGATTCCAAAAATTAGAATTTTAATATATGCAAAATTTAACTATAAAAAGTGGAAGCGCATGCTTAATGGTCGCTCTGTATTTATAAAATCAAGTGGATTTATGTTGAGTTTTTATCAAGATGTATAATATTATTTCGATCTGAATGAAACTTTGCATATTTGACATTCAAAACAAGAAGAAGGTTGCTGTTTACTTTTAATCTCGAAATTCAACCCCCTTAAGAGTGGACGACAAAGAATTTTTAGTACTTTTGGAATGAAAATTTAATTTTTATTGTTGATTTATGGGTTATCTTGGTGACAAGGAAAAAAGACAGTACCTATTTTTAATTATTCACGGACAAGGAATTTTTAAACTCTTTTTAAAAGAAAATTACCTAGAAATAACTATTGACTGTGATAGGGATAAAGGTAAGTCCTGGAAATACCGGGTAATTCAGCTAGTAAAAATATATAAAATAAACAGAAAGGTGGGAAGTTAAATAAATAAAAAATGAAATTTTCTTACAAACCTTTAATAAACATAAATCCGAAACTAAGCTTGTTTCGTTGAATAAGGAATGTTTAAATAATTTAACCACAATTCGTTTTTCATCTGTCAAATTATTGCGTGGATTATTTCTGTAGACCTAATACAAGTAATACAAGTATATTTAAATAATTAAATAAGTGAATAAAATATTTTATTATACTAAATTAGTATTTGTCACTTATTTTTAACTTATTTATGGGGAGTGTCGTAATTCATTGGAATATTACTAAATGGAACAGACGTTTTTCAGAATCAAATAATTATTTAATCTTCTTCTTCTTCTCCTTCGTCTTCATTCTAGATATTTTAGATCGGCAAAAATTTAAATTGAGGAAGTCTACTATAATCACTTTACATTCATTGTTATTGTAAAAAATATCATTCCGTAAAATGTCGATTCCAAGCAATGACTGTTCAGCACTGTGTGAATCCTATTATTTTTGTTTCAAAACCGTATTATTCCATGAAATGTTTATTCTAAATACTTAATGGTTTTCAAAATTGTTCATTCCTATAGTAGTCTTATGTTACTAAAGCATGTATTTCCATGAAATGTCTGTTCCGAAGAAAATGTTTAAGGAAATAATATAGGTATGTACGTATCATTCAAAAAAATGATTTCTTTCTATTCACATTCTGTAAAATGTCTGTTCCACATAAGACATTTGTGGTACTTTAAAAAATATATATTCTAATTATGCAGTATTATGCACTTTATTTTGTATGACCCTCGAAAATCCCCAAAATTCAATTTCATTATTACGGATGCAGTGGTAACCTTACCCCAGCATTTGGCACTATTAATGTAGTAATGCGATTTATTTTACCTATTATTAATAATTATGTACCTATATCTACGCATAATTAATTGGAATTATAATAAAAATTAATATCTAAATATTATTTTCTTTTCATACTTTCACTATTTATGAATCATAAAATAATTTACTACGGCTGTGCCTACCTACCCATTACCCAGTGAAATCTGATAACGTTTGAGACACATCGATCCTTGTTTGTTATTATTATACAATACAATAACTTCTGCTTTAGATACCCAGTAAAGTTTTGAAATGTTTTAATATAGTGTTTTGACACACAGAAAAATCTTCATAGCGATAATAGGTACGGAAATTATACAAAATTGTACAAGTTACCACAGTACCTGTAAGATGAAATTGAATTTTGAGGGTTTTCGAGGATCGTATAAAATTGTACAAAATAAAGTATTTAATACGGCATGGTTGAAATGTATGATTTTGAAAGTACGGTTGCCAGGGTAACACACCTGTATATTTATAGTTTATTATTTTACTAAGAACGACGTTTTAGGTCCTATGTATAAAATTATAAAAATAAAATTAATAACTGTAAGGATAAAACATTTTATTATCATGGATTTATTTTGTTTTTTAAGTTCATTGGAAATAAATTTTCAAACTGATTATTTAGATATCCATACATTATTATTAACTTATTTCGTTTATTAAATAAATATATATTAATATTAGACAATAATTATAATATTAAACTAATCAAATATAATTTATATGAGAAAAACATACATAAAAAATGTAAACATAAAATATAATAAAAAAAATATATTGTAGTTGTCAGTATCGATAATAATTTTAAAAACATATTTGTCTGTAAATATTTTCACATATTATCTATAATACATTTTAATTATTACCTCTATGTTAATATCCCCTTTCAAAATACAATGTGCAGCTGATAATACAAATAGTGGTGATACTAAGCTACCAGTGCAGTAGATTTTTTCAACGTTGCCATTTTCATTAACATGCTCAATTTTTAAACCGACAACATATGTATAATGGTCTATGGAAAATTGATCGCCGTTTGCTATCCTAACCGTTCTTCGATGGCTTTTGGTTGGTTGTCCAGTTATATGTGTTATGAATAAAATAATAGTAGCGATCGTGATATTCATTAGGCACCGGTACCTATAGTAATATTGTCGCTGGATGGTCTGTTCAATCCATGTATATATATATTTTTTTAATATTTATAGCTATCACACTTCATGATTACTGTATCATATGTGAACAGATTGTATAATTTTTTATATATAAGAAAAAAATAATATGTATATATATAAATACATTAGGTACCTAAACCAATTCCCTAACAACCGAACAATTATATAACAAGCCAACAGGAATTTCAGAAATTTCATATTTGCGAGGCCAAATGTTATTTTATCAATTAAAAGTAAACCATGGATTAATGGGTAATTATCTAATTTAGGTATTATTTTAACGGAATCCATTTTTAAAATAATTGTTCGTATTTTCTGCGCCTTTTACTTTTAGGTACATAATATTAAATACATTTTATTTTATTCAAACGATTTTATTTTGGTTAAATCTAATAGGTTAATCATCAATTAAATAATATTATTGTAAACATGAGTATAATATGCAGCCATCCAAGTTTCAATATTTAGCTAGATAGATTTTATTGTTTAAATTTTATTCATTTAAGCTCAATTTTTTTCACAATATGTTTTTGTAGCTATAGTACATCAGTTATTTATAACCTGGCCTTGGATTTTATAGCACTTAGAACAATTTAAACATGAGTTATTATAATATGTCCTAACAAATCTAAAAATAAACTATAATATGCCATACGAACACGAAAAATAGCAAAAATTAAAATGTATTTATTTTTTAAAATTTTAAAATTTTATAAATATATATGTACAACCGATAAGAAACCATAAATATAGACTGTTTGGGTCAATATGCTGGGTTACTTAAAGATAGATTACTTTCTATAAACACAAAGTCCAAAAAATGTTAATTACATTCCAAGATAATAAATGTCTTACGTTATATTATTATACGTTATATTACGTTATATTACCTATGTTATACACATATATTATGTAGGTTATCCTCAATCAAATGTTTATTATAACATTAAATTCAACCAAAAGGTTTCAACTAAAAGCTGTTTGAAGTAAATAAACACAATTATGTTATCGAATAGCTACTAGTTTTGCTAATTATTATGCTTTGGGTGAACCGCGAAATTCAATTTCTTGCACGCGTTTTCAATTTCAAATTAGGTACCTATATCTTCTACTAAACTAAATCCAATTAATAACAAATTTTCAGAAGGCTATATATATATTCTATATATACAAAAAGTATACCTTTTAACTATAATATAAATGTTAGAAGAAGTATATTTCGTAACAACACTTATTAATTTGAATAGGTTTACTCTAATTAGTTAATTACTTATTAATTAAATTTGTATATATAAATATTACGTTTACCTATCAAAAAGTGACCTCCCAATGCATTAACTAAACAAAATTTGCTTTTAGGAAAGATACTACACTCGATGATTGGAGAAAGATTTCTAGTAGAAAAGTGGTTAATAGACGAATTGCATTTGATATTACAGAATGAAATGTATAATTAAAATTTTAATGTATCACACATGGCTAGGTTAGGTTAGCCTGTATTATGTTAAAACAATATTTTTAGCAATTGGTATTATGATGACATTGTTTGAACAATGAACATATTCTTATAAGAGCTGTGAGATGTTTTGATATTTTTATAACAATTTATCTGCATCTTATAAATATAATCTTTGGTAATTTTATAACGATTGTAAACATTTCTTAAATAGTTAAATTTTGCACTTTTTTACCGTACTGTTGTTATTGTTCAAGAAACATGTATTAAGTATATAAAATATAAATATATATGCGACGAGATTATGAACTTCGTGTATAGGGAGCGCTGCGGAAAACTAGGGAAAACGCCGAAAACTTTTCAGTATCCACTATCCCGCAGTATGCCTTTTATATTGTCACGGGTTAGTCGTCGGTAACGTATCTTCTTATCCTTGTACTTCCGTTTAGTTACGCTAATGGATTTTTTAATTTATTAATATAAAAATAAATTTTTTTGAAAACAAGTAAAAATATTTAAACGATTATCAATGAATGATCAATATATTTGTTGTAGTGGTCGCAGAGCTTGAAAACAAAAAATGGCAAGTACATATTATTAATATTTTTCATAATATTCAGAGAAAACAAATTAATTTCTTTAATATAATATCAATACATAATATTTCAAGGATATTTTGAAGTTTATTTATTTAAAATTATACTTGTAATATATTTTTAAATTTTAATTATTCTAATTTAAAAATTCAATAAAATTATAGATAAATCTAATTATTCACTCTGTAGATAAATTGCATAGTTATAGATAATTATTTTTATTTTAGTAATATTTATTATTGTATAATTTTCTGTTAAATTTGTATTATTTTTCACAATAATAATGATAAAATTATTATTAATATTTGTAGTTTTTAATAAATTTGAATTGGGTAAAATTGATCAATTCATACACATTATTTTTTCTTAAAATGTTTGTTTGTTATATATTTTGTTTTCAAGTTTTTTTCATCAAAATTCTTCTGGATCAATTAATCTTCAAATGGACTAATAAAAACCAATATTTCTGTTTAATTAATCTTCATTAATAAAGGGTTAGATACTTATATTTAAGCATGTTATTCTAATGTTTTTATGATTAAATACAATGTGAATGCATTAGATATACCTTTAAGTAACGATTTGTAATTTAATCAAAACGTACAATATGATCACGATTAAATTATGAAATTATTTTTGAAAATTGTTGTCATCAATATTGTGAAAACGTTTATTTTTGGCATCTGTTCAATATTTTTTTTTCAAATATATAATACTTTCTAGCGAAAGTAATAATTGTAAAAGAGCAACACTACGAATTGAAATGGAACAAAGGTCGAGGATTTGAATGAAATCCCCCAGAGTATTGTCGGTGTACATGTCTATTATTGTTTAGCCTCAACAACGGGACCGGCCTTTAAAGGTTGACCCCTGCAGTCATTGCCAAAGCTATTAAAACTAAAAAAAGGATTGGAAATTTTACAATTTCACTTTAAACGTATGTGTGTGTATGCGTGAACGACACATAATAGGTAATTTATTTTTAGGCAAGAGGTTTCAAAAAAAAAAAATAATACCAAAAGCTCTTAGCATTGGCTCAATTGGTTCAAAAAACTAGCTGAACTAAAAAAGCTTTTCATTCTTCCTTTGGAAATACCTATCACGAGTTTCAGACGGGTTGTTCATCAATTTTACCGAAATGTATTGATCATTTTCAATAAGTACAGGTACTTACTCTATTGATGGCAAAAAACATTTTTTTGTCAGTTTCCAATTATTATTGTTTAGAACAGGGATTGGCAACCCGCGAACCAATTTTTTGTGGCCCGCAAAAAGATTTTAAATTTCAATGATGTTTCAGTCATATTTTAATATTACTTATAATCTAGTTCAATTAACTTGATAAATTATAGTATAATATGAATTTATGATGTGAATCGTTAAATGTAGAAAGGGAACATTTTAAAATATTTAAAAATACTAACACTAACATAAATCAAATTTAATGTTAATGACTAATATTATAGTATTAGACATCACCCTAAAACTTATATAGAACTTGGATGTTTATGGAGTTTTTTACATGAAAAATTAAAAAATTTGACCATTCGTCCTTTCTGCATTTAGCGATTCATAAAATTGGATTGGATACAATATACAGGGTGTTTCAAATTTCATGTTACATTCAAATTTTCTATGAAGTACTTATGTTTTTAAAAAAAAATTATTTAAATGCCTTGAACTGTGATTCATTACTCTCTTCTACCCTAATTTATAAGTGAAAAAAAATTTCTTCGAAATCTTGAAATATAAAATAAATGATATTTGACTGAATTAAACATTTCAACATCAAAATAAACTGAAATAAAAATTTATTTATTTTTGTAATTTGTAATATTGGTTGAAAATAAAAATTAGGCAATGGTTTCACCCAAAAAATAAATTTGAAAAAAATATGGATAATGTCAAATTTTAAAATATCTATAATCTACATATTTTTAAAAGTTTTTAAATAAGTTATTTTTTCAAAAAATAAGTATTTCATGGAACATTTTACTATGACCCTGCGTATAGCCCATGCATGATAAAACTTTTATACGTTATATAATATATGTATATCTTAATGATGAACATTTACATGGTGTATTACACATCTAAATCACTAGTTTGGAAGCTTATATCACAAATTAACACATTAATGTCAACAACAAAAATCACATTAATTTACTAATTTAAATAAATTATATTTTTAAAATTATTTGTATTGATATTAAATGAACGACATAAATTCAGACCTGTTTATTGTACACTTATTTGACCTAATACTTTGGTAAGATTGGGTGAACGTATATTAACATTATGTTTGTATCTAGTGTTGTGCTCATGATCTAACAGATGAATTAGATTTTACATTTGAAAATTGTGCTTAAATAATATTTTTTCCCAAATTATTATTATTTTTTTAAATTTAACACTTAAACGCATGATGTTCACTTACTCAAACTTAATTAACACAACTCTAATGTCTAAAACCATACTATGATTTTGAATAGTGATAGAATTGTTAGAATTATATTATATGTAAAAATGATTTTTTAGCTTATGTGTCCAAACTGAAAAAAAAAACAATGTGGACCACTTAATTGAAACGGTTGCCTGGTTTAGAGTAATATCGAAACATTAGCCGTTCTAATTGTACTTGGTTGTAGGTATATTTTGTTGACTTGGATTTAAGTTTTGAATACGAAAACGAATTTAATAATGTATGGTAGGTATATTATTTTAACGAATGAAATAATCTTATAATTTTGATACGTTTGTGAATATCTACAGCCTAACTGAACCTTCAAAAAAAAAATTAATCGAAATAATCCTTCTTTGATATAATAAAAGCAATTATATTATGTACAATGGAAATGTAATGTGATATTGTTATCATCAAATTAATAATAAATGTTCCTTATAAAGAATCGATGTATTTTGTAATTATGTCTAGAAAAATATACAGATACAGATACGTTTAATAATATTGCTTTATATCATTTGTATTGATGCTCTTATGGTTATCTTTTCCGTTTTACAAAAGTAGCATTAGATAATATACTTATCCGATTATATTAAGTCTTTAATATTGAATTCATCAAGATATATTTTTGTTATATCTATATAAGGTACTTATACCTAAATTTAATACAATACGGATAGAGTCCAAACAATATGTAATATTATACACTAAAGAATGTATACATTTTTGCATTAAACATACTAAATTAAGGTTTTATTATAATTAACATTTATTTACCCTGGAATTTGGTATAGCTAGTGATATGTGGTGGGCAACTGTATTCATTCGTCTTGGTGGTACTGCACGTTATGTGCCATAATTCTATATTTACATGGAAACTGTTGATCCCCCAAACGTCGAAAATACAAATTTAAGTCCTAACCCGAAGTTATTCGGTATTATCATTCCGAAATTTAGGTATCTACTTATCACTTTAGTTTCCATCGGAAACGAGTGAATGGTATTTACTTTTCTTTTCATTGCCTGCAATATTTTCTATACCAATATTAAATTATATTATATTATAAACTTTACGCTTCTTGCATTACATAGGAATATGTTTGCACCAATAAATTATTTTATAATAAATGAAATGAGACGCCACGATTGTTTATTATAAGTGTTAAAATGTCAATAATATTTTATTTATTAAGTTTAAAAAATACAAATCTATGTTTTTAAAAACCTAGTTTACATTATTTCTATAAGTTATTTTTATATATGATTCTTTTTGTACCTATGTATATTTTACTACTAATGATAATAGACTCCTAGATTAATTTTTAATTAACATAGACGACACTATTCCTACAAACCGTATACAAATCTTAACGCACTTCTTTGAGTATGGATGTAGGTACTTTTAGAACAGATGGTAGATGCACGATGTATTAACTATAAGTAAAATAATAATTGTAAAATACAATGAACTCATAAATCATAGCTTATTGCGTTATACCTTTATTGGGTTAAAAACGATCGTTTTTGTTTTTCTTTTAAAAAAAAATAAATGTATAATCTTAATTAAAATTATTGTTCTTTGAAAAAATATATTGAAAATAAAGTTAACTAAAGAAATTCCAAATTAATAGGTTTAATTTTATTGTATCGGAAAAATAATTAAATGATATGGGAAATTTATAAAAAGAAGAAATTATTGTTTAGTTCAGAAATATTTTGAAGTAGGTAATGAGAGTTTTATGTTAGTTTAATAAAGCCATTAGTATAATTTTTGTTTGTACATACATTTTTTTAGTTCATGTATAAACTGTACTATATTTATATAGGCTTAAGGATTATAGCTAAAAGCATATTTTCAAATTATAGTTTACGACGTATTACATTTACTTTATTATACGCATATAAATAAAGTGAATTTTTCGAGATTTTTTAATATAATATATCAATATACCTATTATGTTTTCTTAAATCATAGATTTATCAACATTCTTTTATCATAAAAAGAAACGTAAAATTTATTTGGTTATTGTGTTTAAAAATAGTATTTAATAAAAATTAGGTGTAATTTAAACCAAAATAACTAAATAAAACTTAGATAATTGATTTTTAATTATTTATTCCTCTCAATTTTTATCTTTTAACTTTATATTAAAGATTATTAAAAATCTATTTAGTAAACAGATAAATGTATTATTGGCCTGTTTTCATTATTTATTTGTGTTATATTTATTATATGTTTTACTATTTTGATTATTATTATTTATAATACTGTTGGATACAGGGGTGGATCTAGGCCAAGATAACGGAGGGGGAGGGAGTGATTTTTAAAATTAGTATAAGGCACATATTTATAATTAAAATCAAGCTACGAGTATTGAGAGGAGTACGGAGAGGGATGATTACTCCTATCGTCTCCCCCTGGATCCGCCATTGTTGAACACAGGCATAGGAAATATATTTAGTAATAATCATACAATATGTTATAAAAAGTACCGAAAGTACTGACAAAGAAAGTTTGGTCATTTTTTTTTAAAGTAGGTAAGTACCTAGGTATCTAGGTAATACATTTGTTTGAATAAAAAATGAAACCAAATGAAAAATCGATTAAAACTTTTTTTATAGTATACAGAGTGTAACAGGACTATTTGTTTAGTTACACTCTGTATATGGTCCAAAAGATTAGTGGTTATAAAATCGTCTTAACTTAAATATCATTGATTGTGAATAGAACAAATAATATGTAGGTATATTATTAAACCTTAAAAACACCAAGCTAGTGTTTGGTATAAATTGATTTAAATAATTATATTCAACATTCGTTCATAAATCGTCTTAGGGTAATTATTGAAAATCAGCCAAGTTAATGAATACATGATATTTTGTTTTATTCTAAGATTAGTTAATTACCTACCTAACTTACTAGAATTATTTACTACCTAGTATTAAAATAGCCCTAGAGTTTAATATGAATAAATAGTTTAATTAACTTGAGACACCTAAGACGTACTATAAAATAAACTGTACAAGAATGTGTTATTTAAAATGTTGAACCCAATCACCCTTATAGTCTTGTGCTAATAATTACTGTACACATTTTATCGATACAATGGTTATTATTTTTGGAGTACAAGTTGTAACGTTTTGGGGTTTTAACGATTCGACAGTCTGACTAAAAGATCACTATATTGAATACGCTTAATTAAATGTATTGTTTATATCTTTGAAATATAGTTTAAACTATAAAACTATTATTAATAAATGTTTATAATATGTATGAATGTTTAATATTTTAAATAATTTTTCGATATTCCTAATTTAAGTGTGTGGCACCCTGGTTACTAATCTTTGATTTACATAAACGTTTTCGTATAGAATCCGTAACTTCTGAGGTTTATTTAACTACGACTTGGAGTAATAATTAAATAGTGAAATCTGCATAATAATTTCCAAAACAGTGAAGGTAGTGGACCTTGATACATAAAATTCCAAAGTTATTGTTGATCTACAGCTACGCAGTATTTGACGTCACGCTGTATCGTTTTATCATCAATTATGTATCTATACTTATATTTTAATATTGTTTTAAATCGATTTCGAGCAAGTATGTGAATAGTGTATACTGTATAGCGATAAAATGTTGAATTTTATTTTATATAACAAATATTACATAGGTATTATTAAAATATATTTTTACCAGAAAATATTTTTTAAAACGATAAAATGAATCAAAAATGTTTTTTAATATTTCTTTTATAAGACGGACATTTAATAGATAATAAAGAGAAAATTTTCCTTTTAAAAAATAGAAGATAGTTTTTGAGAAAATAGTGAATACAAAATGTGTTCGAATTTCAAGAGTGACTACATTAGGTGTGGACATTTTTCTTCAATACATAATATAAATTATTAGATAGGTATATTTTACTAAAATTCAAAATATTATTTTTAAATATTATTAAACTTTTGAAAAGTTAAAATTAATTATTATTAAAATATTTAAAAAGTATTCATCGTAAAATCAGATTAATTCGTTAAATTTTTAACGATTTATATTAATATTTTTTTGTTACTTTTTGTAAAATGTTCCTATAATAATTTATAATAATTTTAGCGTATAAACGGTATTTAACATTATTATTAAAATAACCTACACATTGACCCAGTTTTGATGATCAAGTGACCTAAAATTAGATCGAATTTTGCTGTTTGAACTATATACAATTTGCCGCTCAAAAATTGGTTGACTTAAAAAGATTTAAGTACTTCTGTATAAAAAAAAAACAAATTTACAAGCATAAAAGTATAAAATAAAAATATATATAAGTTAAAACTAATAGCTTTATCGCTCCGCTTGCAATTTGAAACAATTTCCTTTGTACAATGATACGATATTTTATTTTTTATTTCCTTTTTTATTTAGAAATAATATACCTATACTTATGATAGGTATATAGTATTACATAAGTTTAATTTAAAAAAAATCTTTCTGACGTTTTTATGATTTTATTAGGTATCTATAATATTTTATATAGTAGATTTTAAAACCTACAACCTACAGTTACATACATTGCATTTGAACGAATTTTCTATTCGTTATCTGGTCATTAGACGAACACCGCATAGCTATTATATTATACAGCAATCAAATTATTAATAATATCTGTTATAACGAAAAATTTCGTATTTTGATTCACGCTGCATCTTTAACGTCGTTTCTTTTTCTCAGCATTGCCCATCACGAAAAATATCGTATTGATCGTCTAAAGAGATTAGATTAATAAGTTAGAAAAAGGAAAAATTACCTTGTTTGTTGCAGCAGTCGAAAATATTTTTGGACGTAAGAGCATATTGTTCCACTTAAGATTTATAGCGGATAACCAACTGATTTGCTTTTTTTTATGTTTAATGACAATTGTCAAAAGTTAATTTAAACAAATGTACCTGCACTTATGTATAGGTATATGATCATACATACTTAAGTTTTGACCTAAATTTTAAAAATCTATTTTATTATTCTTATTTTTATTAAGTTTTGTTTTATTTGTTGTAATCCACATTTTTATGTATTTTAAACGTCATTATTCGTCACGACTTTGGCAATGGTATAAGCAGGGCCGGAATGACGAATACACGCAATGCTATATATGCGTGGTGGAGTTTAGTTGATAAAAAAAAATAATAATACAAAACGAGTGGCCTTTTGACTTAACATTATACAAAAGGACAGAGAAAGACTAAAACCCTGGGTATTTTATTGGATTCATCCATATATAATAATATAAAAACGGTGGAAACGACATTATTATTATTATTTTGTTACCTGCAGTTTATAATGTGCGTCAGTCTTGTTTTATCAGCAGTTTTATAGAGTGTTCGTTATTATTATGTTTATTTTTTGATGCGATATTACCATATTCATTTTTACACTTCTGCAGTAGTTTTACTTATCCAGCATTCAGCAATAATGTCTTAATTCCTCAAAAACTCACCTTTGCTGAACTATTTACCTGTGCGTATTCGTGTGCTTATATTACTTTATATTACCTATATTACCTACACATTTTGTTTGAATTACACTTATTAAGTATAGTTTATGACAAGGCATATTAAAAAATAAAAAAAATAATTAATAATATATCCACTAATTTATTTGACCAAATAAATAATATAATATAATGTATTATAATGTTAAACTTTGTTTAATATTAATTTAAATTGTATCATGATTATTATTTTTTCAAACAATCAATATTTGAAAAAAAACAATTATCATGTATTACAATTATAGGTGAATAATATTTGGTCACAAATGTGAGGGCGGAAGGCGTGGTATTTTCATCAATTTTACTTTATTCATTAGCAAAATTATTCATGCTTTATGCTTCAAAATACTGCTTACCTTTTTCTACTTTTGACACCAATGTATGTTCAACATTTTTTTTGATAATACAAAAATAATAACGAAAAGAAAAATAGACCATGTTTATTTATTTCTACTATTGGTAGCTAATAATAATAATAATAAAAAAAAAACTGTATATTTTGTGTAATATAGATAAAAATGAATTCTTATGTTTCTCAAATGCAATGCTGGGTAAGTTAATGATATTTTAAAATTCAGTTAAGTTAATTATTTTTTTTCAACTAAACTAAAATATACCAAGTAATAAGTTAAGTTAACTAAAAAAAAAGAATCATTAATAAGGTATTAAAAATTAAAATATCTAATGATAGCGAATGCAGGTATGAAATATTACCTAGGTATTTTAAAACCTGTGAAGTTGTAGGATTTATAGAATTCTAATTATTATTCAAACTCAGGGATCATTTAAATTAAAATTTGAGTGTAAAAGTGGTTACTGAATTATATAACATCAATCATTTATTAATTAACAAAACAAATAATTTAAATAAATACATACAAAAAACCTACCAATTAGTTATAAACATGTATTTAAAATATTTATTAAATTTTAATAACAAATAGGTAGTACCCAAGTATACCTAAGTAGATATTATGAATATGATTCGTGGACTCTTGACTATTTATGTCTTTATTATTACGATTAATTAGTTTTTATCTGTAAATATAAAAATGAAATTCTTCGTAAATATATATATATTTTTTTTAATAATATTTTATGGTTTTTCACATTCTAGTTATTTTTAAATCTATGAACTAATAATATTTTAAACGGACAACGGTAATAAGTAAAATATTTTTCTAGATAAAATAAAAATTCTAAATTAACTTAATTGGGAATAATTAAAAATAATGTAAGTTAATTTTAAGTTCTTGTATAAGCACATGAGTTAATTTAAAGTTAAGTTCATTAAAATATCAAACTAATTAGTTAAGTTAATAAGTTGAAATCAACTGAACCTTTAATTTCTTAACACGTTAATGGTTTGCTCAAACGAATTAATAAAGTATTAAAATATTCCTCGGCTTAAAAACATTCTGAGAGGTTTGACAAATTTTGGTGAGCTTAGGTTTCCTAAACCCCTCTGATAAACACCTATGTACCTATACAAGTATGTAAACATACCTTTACAGTAAACTTAATACTTTTTTTTTGTTATTCAATCCATAGTGTGGTCTATAATAAAATATATTCTTTCCATGATTCTCTTGCGTGCGCCTTATCATTGAATTGTTTATACGAATCGACTCTTGCATCTTTAATTATTTGACTTATGTAACACGTTCTTGGTCTTCCTCTTTTACGTTTCCCTTCTATCATGCCTTCTAGTATAAAACTATGGAGTTCTTTGTTATGCCTTAGCGTATGCCAGCTCATGTTATCGCCTCATCTTAAATTGCAAAGTTTTCTTTTATTTTACTAAATCTAACACTTCTTTGTTTGTTTTCATTCCTATTCATTTTATTTTATGTATTTCCTTACAGCACCATATTTCCAAAGCCTCTAAAGTGTTTTCATTTTTCTTGTTTAACGTCCAAGTTTCGCTATCATATAATGCTATACTCCAAATATATGTTTTAATTAAATTTTTTCTTGTTTCTAAGTCTACATTTTTAATAGTTTACTTTTAAGTTGGAATGCCTTTTTGCCTGTCCTATTCTGCTTTTTGTTTCTTTTACTAATTTTTTATCGCTGCTTATTATGCTTCCTAAATATTTAAATTGTTCCACTTGCTCTATTCCGTTTCCTTTAATGTTTGGTTCATTCTATTTTCTGCATATTTGTTTTTATCGTGTTTATATTTAATCTCAATGTTAAAAACATATTATCCATTTTAATAAGCTTTGTTTGTAGACTTTTTTTAGACGTAAGGAACAAAACAACTAAATCATTCGCGAATCATATTATTGATACTAAGATTCTTCTTATTATTACTCCCATCCTTTTCTCTTCTAGTTTTGATTGTATATCCATTATTGTATGTTCAATGTAGTCATTCAATAATTAGGGTGACTTATTAGTTATTAGTTATTATACAGATATCAGATATGCTATAGTTATTTTACATAGTATTTTGTTTGTTATTATGACTAAAAAAACTTTGTATATTATGTATTGTAATAATTAATTTGATAAAGATAAAAGATACCTATACATAGCAATGTTTTGATCTTCTTAATAGCATTCGGGTTACACATGGGAGAGTTACACAAATGTATTTTAAGACAACTCACCGACCATTTATATGGAGTTTCAATTTTGGTCTTCGACCATCCGGGAAAATACTAACACAGTCTATTGACTTCCTAATAATATAATATCCGAGTTCGGATAGTCTTCAGGATCACCTACCAGAAACCAAATGAGAACTGTCCTTATGTACGCAAATACCCTGAAAAGTTCGAAAATCCAGAATAAAAAAAATTGCGGAATATATTCGTGGAAATTGAACCACGGATCTTAACTTCACTTGACCTAAAACACCTAACGCCTAATCACAAGAATACTAGACTATCTACTTATTGAGTTATAAAGCATACTTTAAAACTGTATCAGATTTGGTATACACATCTAGATTTCAAAAAGTTTATGTGGTTAATGTATAGGTTAGTTGGTAACTTAATAATTAATCTAAAAAACCATATGAATGTAACATAAATATTTACCTATTATTTCTAATAAATATATAAATTACGATGGGTGCCCTCTGGGATTAGGTCATAATGAACATTTTTTCAAAAAAGGAATACGGTGATTGGGTCATTTAAATTTTATATTTATGACAGGTAGATCCGGTGGTTAGGCTATTGTATTCAACTATTTTATTATTATATTAGACGTATTATTACGTTTTTAATACCTACCAATTCCCAATGAAATTGCTTAGTAAAATGAATTAGTCATTTTTTGTACTAAGGTATGCTTTTTTTACCTTAACCATTGCGGCTTTTTGAAAATCATTTTTTTGCATTTTTTTTAAAAATGGCTCATTTACATGTAAAGGTTCCTGACCACTGTGTTTAATACATAGTAGATAAAATGTGATACAATTACCGATTACCTATTCAAATTTATTTAGATGATTTAATTATTTAAATACTGACTCAGATAATACCTGAAATAACTTATCTTTTATTTATGTAGATAATATAAAAATATATCTATTTAGATAATTCATATAGATAAAACAAAACACTATCTGATTTTTCGAAAAATTACTTTTTAATAGATCGTTGTACAAAAAAAAAAAAAAAAAAACCCGTATTTTAAGTTTACTATGGAGTTTCTATCATAGTTTGTCATCGTGATACTCAAAATTAAATGTTTATCAATAGTCAAAAAATAGTGATTATTTCCTTTTCTATAAAATAAATATAACATTTTTAAAGTAAATTATTATTTGAGAGAAAAAAGGTTTCCATCTAATGATATTAATATTTTGAAAATAAAAAGGTCCTGTATTAAAAATTGTACAGTAAAATTAATAACACAATAACATGAACAAATCTTATAAAAGGTTCTCTATCAAAACATTTATTTTGAAAAGGTTCTCTCGGGAAGTACTAAATTATTTTATTTGACACTTTTATTTTATGTATCAATACAAAATTATTGATTTGATTTATGATGATCGAAATCTATTTTAATTAAAGAGCACACTTTGTTTTTCGCCTTATCAGATTTAAAATTAAATAATAGCATTTGGTGTCAAAAATGCATTTTAAAATTATAATATGATTTTCCTGAACAATTTTAAACAGTGACTAAGAACTTTTTCATTGTTAAATGATATACTTTTATACTCTATGTACGTAGGTAATTACGTATGTTATGTTTATATTTATGAAATTCTAAAATATGATAATGCAAATAACTCTACTATAACAGCTATGATTTGAATTAGTTTAATATAAAATTAATTTATAATATTAAAATACTTTAGTTTGAGATTTTCCGAATAAACTAACGAAATGCCATTTATTTACGGATAGAATAAATTAGTAAATATTATAATTATTAATATAAATTGGTCTCCTAAAAATATTTTATAAATGAAATTAATTAATCGGAAATAAATAAAATACCGTATTGCATTATAAGATTGCATAAATTAACTAAAATTAAATAGTTTTAAATTATTTTATATTTATTATTTATATTATTTTTTAGAGTTATTTTTGATTTTATTCTTTCTACAATCGATGGCGATTTTTAATTTACATGCCACATAGGTATATTATTTTAGGTACATAACTACATGTAGTACACTACACAATCAATAATCTATATTTTTAGATAAATATTATAGAAATTTGAAATATTACATGAATGTACATATAACTACTCCTTACCTGTAATCGTTTGTTTTCCCTATATTATTTGAATTTTTTGTACCTTTTCAGTCAATTTTAAATAATCATTATTTAAATTAAATAAGATGGTAAATTACAGAAAAATAATGCAGCTACAAAATATTTATATCAGAATATATTTTGTATTTGGACCGGAGCTATCGATTTCATTGGGTATGTGATATGTGTGTTTTTTTTTGTATCTTTGAGGAACTTTTTAACCAGAAATTATCCTCTGGTGTATTAAATGTAGCACATTTTATGAAAGGAAATTTGTTTAAAAATTATGAGTAAAATAACAAATATTTATGGTGCACCGCGGTGATATCGATTTCATTGTTTTTAATTTTAAAACTATGTTTACTTCTAGAATTTCTTTTTTTTTAATCGAAAAATGCATCGACACTTTTTTTTTGTTATATTTTGAATCTATTTGCTCACAAAGCAAGTTGGTTTTTTTATGATAGTAGTTTTTATAATAATTGGGAAAACCGGAAAAAGGCAAAAAATAAAAACTGATAAATGCGTTATGATTCCATTATTTTTAATTTGTATGGTTTATGTTTTCTATTAGGAATGTTGTTCCTTTTTAGTAAAACAACAGACTTTTTTGTTGAATTTTCATTCTAGTTGGTGAGTAAGAAAGTCGTTTTTTGATTTTCTCAGTAGTTTATTTTTAATAATTGAACAAAACCGAAACAAATGTAGAAAGAAGAGGAAAATATACGAAAAATAATTTTTTACTATTTTCAATTTTGTTGTAATTTAAGAGTTTTAAACATTACGGTCTTTCAAAGCATTTATAACCGTATTTTGCTCCAAATCGTTTTTCGTTAGCTATGATTAAATAACTTTTTGTATCCTACCTTCACAACTGACCATCTACATCAGTGCACATCTGTTTCTAGTATCAGTTCTTTTATTTTTATAATTATCAGTTTTATGGATGTACAAAAAGATGGAAGGAATAATTTACCGAATAATAATATTTTTTGTTCATAAATTACGTTTTCAAAAACTTTTTTTAAAATTATATAAATTATATTATACTTCAAGTTATTATAACTGGATGAAAATTTCAAATATAATGTAAATAAAAAAAATTGAGTGTAAATAATGATTCCTCAATTTTTTAGGTTCATATAAAGAAATAATAACTTTTAACTTCATTACTAAATATAGACATTTTGTGTAACTATTGGTTATTCATATACATATTTACTTAAAATATTAGTATTTATTCAATGGCGTATCCGATTAACTTAGTTTTTTAATTTACCTTTTTCATCATACGTAAACGAATGAAAATCGTTGTTCAGTAATTCATTTAGTGTTCAACGTTTTAATTCCATATTTTTAATTTTTAATTAACGACTTAATTAATTTACGATTTATTACACAATTGTACGTAAAGAATACGTGCCGTTCGGTGTCAGGGACTAGAGGTCCGGAAGCTAGCCGCACATCAATATTTTCGAACCAAATTTTTCCAAAAATGTGTAAGTCATTCGTAGGTATTTATAAGCAAATATTTGAAAAATGTAAGTCCAGTCGTTTTTAATTATCTAATCATATTTATTTCGCAGCTAACTTCCGTGAAACTTGGCCGTTTTGTCATTTCCAAATTTTTCACCCGGCCAAAATATTTTACACTATTTGTAAGTATTTGTAAGCGCAAATCCACAATTTTTAAGTCATCCGTTCTTGAGTTATCCCTAAACAATAGAAGTGGTAAATAGTGTTTGTTGTTCCACAATAATAGTCCAGTCGAAGTGGACAAAAAAACGACAAGTTCGGAACTAATTCCCCGTTTGCTAAATTTTGGTACAGAAATAGTTTATACTTCAATTATAAATATATTAAAAGTCCTGAAATCTATCTCTTGTACGTAGCCCCCTAGCCCTTTTGAAATTGGCATGCGCTCTTTTCACTGGTTTCGATTTATAACTCAATTGTTAAAGTGACAATACAAATCTTATGATCAAAATTAATGATCATACAATTTACTATAGAATAAACTTACTTTAAATATTTGTATATTTCAGTTAGTTTAGGTTCAGTATCAATACAAATAGTTCAATATAATGCTAATATTTAAAAAGTGAAAATAAAGAAAGTTGGAGATAAATTGTATTTTTATTTTTCTACAATTTATACAATTATAATATCTAAAGCAATGATATATCACTGAATTCAAATTAATTTAATTTAATTTCTTTGCAGTTCTCCAACTCTACACTACACAGCCTAGCAGTACTCACTTGCCAACTTTTTATTCATTGATAATTTTTACATTTAACATATTGTTTACATATCTGTAAGATTAGGTCTATTTTGATAGTTAAAAATCACGAACATTTTAATATATTGTGTAAAACTAAATCACTATAGTAGGTGAGAATGAAATTGTACTATTATTACTTTTATTATTTAACAATTATATGATTATATGATTATGACTAGTTAAATGAACAGAATAATAATAAAATTATTAAAAATGATTCAAATTCTGAAAATGCAGAGTAATAGAGAAATGCGATTTTCCATCGTGTTTTTGGAAAAAAATAAAGTTACTATACACATTAATGATAGTAAAATATGAAAAAAAACTTTTATATTTAAATTAAACCCTACCGTTGTTTTAGTGTCAATGTCAACAGAAAACTCACATAAAACTGGTTAGTATCTATATAAAATGAACTATAAATAATTAATTTATAATCAACTTGCCAGAGTGTACAATTTTAAATTTATGTTTACAAATCCTTACAAATTTCATAAGACAATTTGCCATGGTCAAAGTTCAGGAAACCCGATAAAGCACAGCTAACTTCTTTTTAAGGATAAATACGTTCTTTAGAATGACTTACAAATTTTAAATTCATGCTTACAAATACTTAAATAATGTAAAACATTTTGACCTGGTCAAAATGGAACAATGGGTAGATATCAGGACTTTTAGTATATATTAATTTGTGAAATATAAAATACTTCTGTACCAAAATTTAGCTAATGGGGAATAAATTCCGAACTTTGTCGTTTCTTTGTCCAAGTTGTCTGGACTATTATTGTGGAACAACAAACACTATTGATTACCACTACTTTTCAGGGATAACTCATGAAGGAATAACTTAAAAATTGTGGGTTTGCGCTTACAAATACTTACAAATAGTGTAAAATATTTTAGCCGGGTGAAAAATTTGGAAATGACAAAACGGCCAAGTTTCGCGGAAGTTAGCTGAGAAATAAATATGAGTAGATAATTAAAAACGACTGGACTTACAAATTTCAAATATTTGCTTATAAATACTTACGAATCACTTACACATTTTTGAGGAAATTTGGTTCGAAAATATTGATGTTGTGAGGCTAACTTCACGGACCTAAAGACTAGTTTCTCGGACTCCATATAAAACCATTATCACTGTGTGATCTCCTTCCCCCCGAAATTTTATTTACCTCCTATCTATTAAAATAGAGACTGTCGATCAACCGTCTTATTCGTTTTACTACCGCGTAGTCCGTCGTTATTGCTAATTTCGAAAATAAATCAGTACGTTTAATATGCATTAATTTATACGCATACTCACACTACGATGAAGAGAATATTTTATATACACAATATAATATTATATAATATATATATATAAAGTAAATACAGTTAACAAAGTAGATGTACACATGAATTATATAAATAATTGAAAATATTTAAAAAATTGATTTTCTTTTTTCATGTTATAATTATTGGGGAGACGCCGTCTCAAAGTTTCCCCTTACGCACCGCTTCTGCTGGTGAATATGATCTCCTTTTTTCGCTTGATTTTCACTATATGCCTTATATGCATTTTCAATATCGCCGCCCCTCCCCTCCAGTAATCTTGTTCTGGATTAACCCCTGTATAGGGAACTGACTGTGTCTTTTCGTTTTCTTATTATGTATAGTAAAATAATTTCAAAGGTTTCTTCAATGTTAATTTAATCGATTATCATTAACTATGGAATGTTATATTATCAAGTTCGATTAGATATTAAAAAATCGAATATTATTAAATTAGAATACCGATTAATTTGTTTTCGTTTTCTAAACAAATTATTATACTTGTTATGTACATTGATAATGGTTTTATTATACAATAAAATTATGTTTTTTTTTTTTCAAAGTTGTATATTCAGTACATGTATATTGTATAGTAATGGAATTTAATTTTTTACAGGTTCGACAACTAACGATATGAAAATGGTGGTGATTTTTAAATAATTTGTGCGTATAATTTTTGTTAATTAATTTTTTTTTTGTTTAATAATAAGTTTTAAGTGTGGTGATATTAGATTTAGACGGGTTAATTTTTGTAACGCTGGTAAATATTTTTTTACATTTTTATCGATATGTTAACTATAATGCAATTGAAGTTCGTAATGCTATGGGTGGTGACATTTCAATGGATCTCCAATACAGGTAAGAAATTAAATTTAATAAAATAACTACTTATTTTGGGAATCACGTGGGTTTTCTATATAGTTTGAAAATTTAACCAATATTATAATTATGATTTGTATATTATATTAGTAATTACTGTTTTCGGGGACATACAATTTGTTCGTCATATAAATGATAAGGTACTACCTACCAAGTTTATAGTTATAGAACTATAATAATACTATATATTTGAATATTAGACATTATATTTCATGCACGTAAAATCATATTATATTGTTGTACTACGTATTGATACATGCAGATGTAATTCGTGTATACTAAATCGGTTGTGAAATGAAAATAATACACTACATAAATCATCAAAGGGTTTTCTTCTGTAAGCCAATTGTTTTGAATATTTCTGTTAAGTCGTTTGAGAAGTCGTAAAAAAAGAAACTGTAGATATCCACCATGTTTATATTCAAAAGTTTTATGCGGTCAACGATTTTTTTTTTTTTTTTTGTCTTACTGGACTAGCACAATAAAAAATGTCCGCTTAGCAAAGAAGTACAAGAGAAAAACGTATTTTCTTGTTCGGCAGTTTTACTAATGGCGTTTGGAAACAAAGAAATTTCCCTAAAGGGCTTATGCGTCACGGTCGGTGAAATCTGTATTCATCTTATACTTTTTTCGTCACCCAATCTGTTTATCAATGCGAAATGAGTCCGAAATTGGTAACGTCGCTCAATGGGGAAGGAAACAAGAAAGAAAGAAACGGGGGTTAGAGGAATAACGATTGAAAAGCAACCATATCCTATGGGACAAGGAAGAGCAAAATTGCATTTCTGTCCGGTCAATAAAACTTTACAACTTATTACTTCCGCAAAATCTATCCCATGTGAAATCGAAGGGAACAATCGACAATGAACTTAAAACACGTAGGCGAATAAAAAATCGAGGATGAAACCAGACCAGATTTTGGGGGATGATTTAAGACATTATATTTCCAAGTGGCTAAAGAAGAGAGAAGTTTTCGGGTTTTTCAATCCAACTCGTAAGTAGAATATGTAGAGGATGGGCAAGCTGCAGCTTTCTGATTTTATATAGGGTTTTTATTTTCTTTAAATAAACTTTAATATTGTTTTCTTTAGTCCTTTGAATATTCAAATATCTACTATATAGGTTTGACGATTTTTACACAATAGGTAGGTAATATATAATACTATAATGGTATATTGATTGTTATTTATGTGAATTTTAATATCTACTCACGGAGAACTTTTTTTCCTACATTTTGATGATATATGGCTTAAAATAAATCGTTAATTTTTTATTTTCTTATAATATTTATTTGAATTGAAGAAATTAATAAATTAGGTTTGTTCTTAAAGCTTACAGTTCTTATTTAATACATCAAACTAATTATACCAAAATATGTTATTGTTATTGTGATTATTATAGGTTAAAATGTAATAGGTAATTAAACATATTAAATAAACAAGATGTTTCGCATTGTGACTTTTAGACAATATATGGTTATCAGGAATTCACTTTATTATGTTTGAATTATATTATGAAACAATATATACATTTCTTTTATAAATCGAAGTGTATAGTATTTAGGTAGTTAGGTATATTTAAAAACTAAACAGTAATATAATATTTAATATGATGTATAATATAGTAAAATAAAAATAAATATATTTGTAAAGTTTGATTTTCAAATAAATCATTAAAAATACCTTATTATTTAATATTTGACGAGCAAAAGGATACTCTTTTATTTTATTAAAAACAGTTTGGAACTTACTTCCAATTAAAAAAAAGTTTTCTGTTACACATTATAAATGTATATACTATTAAGACTGGCTAATAACGAGCCAATTTTCTTGAGATTTCACAAGAAGTACTTATTTTAAATGATACCTGATAGGTGTCACGAATAAATTTATAATACTATTGTACTATGCATTAGGAGTTGCCTATTAAATCTTATTAGTCTTTAATCAAATTTAATCATTTTTTTTCGTGGCGTTTTTTACCTCCTAAAATTTGAATCAGTGGCTGTTTGTTGGATTGTTAGGCTAGTGAAACGCTGTCTCATCTATAATTTTCTTATATTTTTTATAATGTATATTAACATCCCCTTCCCCCTTGTAATAATCAAAATATTTGCTGCACAAAGCTCATTAAACGCTGTTGATATAAAAAAGGTATTATTATCTAATCTATTATATTATATAGAACATTTCTAAACACTCTTCGTGATTCTCAAGTTTCATTCTACATATTATTATTTTATTTAATTTTCTAATATTTTTCTTTTACGATGAATCAAGTTACAACGGTCAGTGTTAGCCTGGTACACCTGAGCCCCTAGTTGGAGCATTTTGTTTTCGGGGCCCCATAGATGAGAAAAACAAAAGTCATGGAAATCAATACGACTTTGGAGCATCGTTCATAACCGCACACGGTCCATAAGTCATTTCCGCAAATTTGTTTTTATTGTTTAGTAGGTATTCTTAAAAGGTCTACCGTTCTTTTGATTGATACTATACAATTCAGCGGTTAACGAACAATAACGTACATATTTGTCTAAAATCAGATTAACCACACTCCAGTTAATCAAAATCGCAATTTCATGAAAATTAAACTTTTAGGATGGTTCATGTTTATCAATAGATTAATGAAATGTTGTCATAATAAAATAATCAACTAATAAACTTTGATCTTGAACTTAAGTATTAATTTTGTATTAGTTTTACATTGATGTTTTTTTTTTATTTATAAACACCTTTTCTACCATAAATATTGCTCAAATTTTCAAGTGTAATTTCTCTTTTGAAAGGAAATTTTATCTGAGTGGTACATTATGAAAATAATTTTTTGGTTTTCCAAGCAGTTTTCATGGAAAAAACGAAGGAAAACCTTGAAAATTTACGAAATATATTATTTTCAATTTGTTTTTTGTTGTGATCAGTTAAAAATATTTGTAAAAACTTAAAACTTGGACCGGAAACTTATATTTATATAACCTTTTCAAGACGTGGTAAAATTTTCTAAATATTTTAGTTACTTTTCAACTACTTATAGAGATTATAATTTTGTGAGTTTTTTACGTGATTCTGTCCGGTAGGTACTCTGTGGATAAAATTCTTATAGCAAACAGAAATGATTGAAAATTTAACAGGGGGTTCTTTATTAGTCATACTTAGTGGTAAAAAAATAATACAAATTTAGTATGATGTAGAATTTTTTTTTTATAAGAATTTTAATATCAAATTTTGACGAAAATCGTAAATATTACAGCCTTTCGAAACGTGTATAACCGAACTCCGGCCAGAATTGTTTAGCAATGGTTTATCGTTGCTTACAGATATAAATTAAATAACTTTATGTATCCTACCTTCCTAACTGCACATCTACAGCAGCGCATAAAATTATGTTATAAACAATTATTATTTAATAATCAACCTGATAATAATATTTTGAGTTTTTGAATGTATATTCACCCTACGCAAACAAATATGATAAATAAAGATCGGATGTTAATGACCAACATTTCTTTAAAACGTGCATTTAAACGTTTCAATATATGCAATTATGTACCTTATAATTTATTTTATTTAATTTATTGTCAACAGAATAATGTATCACATGTACCCATTTATCAACAAATATGTGCAAAAAATGTGTTAATATAATTTAAAATAAATTATATACTATTTTAATCTACAGTAGGAAATATCCACCGTACCTACCTACAGTAGGAATATAAATAACTAGGTATGTCAGCAACTTTTATCGACAGTACTAACGCTAGCGTACACGTAGTGATATAAAGTGTTCGGTTAATAGTTACCGTACACATTTTAGATTCCGAGCGTAGCGAGGGAGCTATTGGTTTTACAATACTGTTTATTTTTTCTTCTTTGTTTTAGTCTGTGGACACGTTTTTTCTTAGTAAACTTGCTCCGATGTATAGGTGTAGCACCTTTTTTTAAAAAGCTTAAGTTGTCTAGATTGTACATAAAACATGTCATTTTTTGATTTTCGACGACATTTTTTAAATAAAGTGGGAATAAACGTAGGAAAACGTACAATTTCACGATTTCATTATTTTAAAAAACACGGACGACTTTTTCTACCAAAAAAAATGATTTAATCGAAAAATTAAAAGATATTTTTTTTGTTGCCTTTTTGATTTACTTTCTTACGGTTTTAGCGCCAAATTTGTTAGCCTTTTTTGAGTTTTTAAGGAATTTTAATTTTTGGGATTTATTTTTGCTGGATTTCGGTTATAAATACACGTAGAAACTTGAAAATTTGTTATAATAGTTATATTGGACTTACCTAGACGTGGTAAAATTGTTCAAATCATCAGACGATTTTATTTCCTTTTATAATTTTTTTACAATGGTACTATAATTGTATTTTTTTTTTTTTTTACACTGTAGACCACTTTTATCCAAGAAAACTTGCTCCGATGTATAAGTATAGCACTTTTTATAAAATTCAATTTTATTTTCTTGGAAAATACATAGGTCGTTTTTGATTTTCGATACGGCATTTAAAATAAAAACGATTAACCGGGAAAAAAGACACGATTTCGTGATTTTAAATAAGTACATACCAAAATTTTTAACATAAATATGGCTCCAATTGAAAAACGACAAGAGGCCATATTATTGTTGAATTTTTTTTTGAAATCAAATATAAACGAAAGTCGCAAAAAAAAATTACGGCATTTCAAATTATGTAATATCGAACTGCGCTCGGAAACGTCCAGCAATGGTTTATCGTTGCTTACAAATATAAATGAAATAACTTTATGTATTCTACCTTCTCAAATTCTCACCTGCAACAGTGGATGCATCTGTCCTTAGTATCAGCTATTTTTTAATATTATATTTAAAATTGTTTAAAATATGTTATTAAATATAGAAATAATCAGTATATGCATTTATATGCTCGAGAATATCAAATATGCAAATATATGCAAAATAAGTTTGTATATTTTAAATCTCGACTTCATGATTCGAATTCATATAATATTCGGGTATAATTCTGATTTCGCTAAAGAAATATGCAAAGTCATAAACATCCGAGCTCTAATGATAAACAATGACGAATTAGTGACAGGTTAAAAATAGACAAACTGAGTACGGTATTAAACGATGTGTGGTATTAATAAAAAAAGTGTGTGAAATTAAACGACGACCTTTCTCTGAAAGTTATAGCCGCCGTGAGATTGAGTCGAATTGGGATACACAGATAGATATTTCTAAAAAATAATAATCGATTTTCCGGCAACATATTTATATAGGTATATATGCTATGTTCACAAAAGTGATAATAAGCAACATTTCGGTTTCCAGTAATTTGTGTATGTATTATAATATGCATATGTAATCTCAGTACAAAAAACAACCAGTAGTTAAATGACGATATTGTGTACATCTATTGGGTCTTGAGAGGACCTTACATACAAATACGACTAGCGGCCATAGTTATAGCCAGACCGACACTGATGACGGTCAATTTTATTACTTCAGCAGACTTATAATAAAATCAATAAACAAAAATTGTTTTCTCTCCTGTGATAACTAATAAATATGCTTTCAAGTATACAAATACAAATTAGTAACTAGGTAGATTATTAGGTAGATTATTTCATTACTATTGGCTCTACAGTTTTAAGAAATTTGTTTGGTAGTAGCCAGTAGTTATTAGGTAATAACAATTATCTCATTTCGTCGTAATAAAATATAATTTATTAAACTGTCGAGGTCACCGTATTGAATTAGTTTGTATCGTATAAAATATTATTTTACTATGCTTCATGGTGTACGTGTATTATTTGAAAACAAAATTATAGTAAATCAAGAAGATACCTAATAAACTTATAAATTATTATTTTTTATTATTATTTTAATAACTTCCAGCGGAGCAAGGAATGTATTTGTTTTACTGTTTTTTTACTTTTTTGTATCTATATACAACTTTTACTAAATTGTTCAAAGATCTTACTTTAATCAAAAAATGCCAACAGACAAAAATTAATAGTCGAAAGAAAGAACGGAATGTTTTCGGAAATAATGGTTTTATTATTTTTAACGTTGGTTTTTTGTTGCAATGATGTTAAATTATTTGTAAAGACCTGAACATTTCATAACATTTTTATATTGACCTTTAATGGTCAAATTTTCAAAATATTCTAGCGGTTTTTAAGTTTTTATTTGGTGTGTTACTATGTGGAGAAAATTGTTTTACCAAACAAAAATGTTTGGAAATTTAACACGAGGTTCATTATAAGTTGTACTTAGTGGTCAAAATAAGTTGAGCTAAAGTAATAGTTTTTTTTCATAAGCGTTTTATGATAAAATTTTTAAAAAAAATCGTTATTAACCATAGAAATAATTTGATAACAAGATCTAAAATTTATCATTAGACACGGTTAACTGAACCTAATATAATATTTATTCCGACGATTTAAACATTATTCAATAATTATAATTAAACAAAAAATAAATAAAATATAGTACCTATATAAGTTTTGACAGTACATTTAAGAAAAGTTTCTTTATAAACTTCAAGAAAACAAAGTTTATCATTCTTTAATTTTTAATCAAACATTTAGATATAATTAAAGCAAGGACTCTTAATTCACTACAAAATCATCAAATATGTATACGTATTTAAAAATATGCACTTAGTTATCAAAAAATTAAAAATATGCAGTTAAATATGCGTCAAAATAAATATATAAATTATTAAAAATTCTAAAAACATTGATTTTTCTTTAAATATTTTATTTACTTACATAATATTATTAAACTGCTATTGAACATATTTAAAAATGTTAATTTATTCAAAACAAAAACAATAATATAACCAATACAGATACATTTTTCATTCAAAATTATTCTGTACCTAATAAAACAAAAATGGTATCTTAAAAATAATTATTAAATAATTCTTAAATATTTAAATTACCGAAATCAAAATTGCACTAAATTGTCAACATTTTATTAGAGTGGTATATACGTGGTAATACGTTTAAGCTATTTGTAGACATTTTTTCTAGTTTTGTTAATTTTTATACGGTAGGTTTTATATGGATTATTTGACCAAACAAAAACGCTCGACAATTTTACTTGCAATTTATTAAAAGTTGTATTTGGTGTTCACAAATGAAAGTTATGCGTAATGTATACGTTTTTTTATAAGCATTTTATGATCAAATTTTATTGAAACTCGTAGAAATTACGACTCGTGGCATTACAAAACATGTATAAACGAGATTCGCTCAGTATCATATTTCGTTAGCAATGGTTTTTTCCTTTCCAACTTTTAAATTCATTATTTTATTTTTATTGGACCCGGTATTATATAATTAAATAGGCGGTTCTGTTTCAATATTACTAATATAATAATTCTTATCGATAATTTTAATGTTTATATTATAATATACATATATTATATTAGCTGCCCTGTCCTGCTTTGCCTGTGCAATAAATGCTCAATAAAACTTTTTAATTTCAATGCATGATAGAGATTGCACTTTAAATTCATATTTCCTATCGAAACGTGAGAATCATTTCTATAATCAATCGATTTATCATAATTGAAGGCGGTTGTGTTATTCTTGTTTTCATCGTTATTGTCCTTATTATTGTTGTCGTCATCGTTTTTTTCATCTTTAACTGTATTTTGATCGTGCGTTTCTGAATGTTTGTTCCTAGATGTGGAACGATCAAGGTGTGATTTCCTCTTAATGGGCATTATGCGATGAATAAAAAAAAAAAATCAAGAAAAGAAAAAAAAATAGCGCGGTTGTATACAGCAACAAACAAAAATTGTAATACGTCAAAAACGTCGTAAACTGTACGATAAAGACATTGATAATGAAAACAGTAAATATAGGAAATTATAATCTTATATGTAAATATACATCTGTGATTATAATTGGAAAGAAACCATAGATACTATAGATACGTTTTGACTATAGATACCAACCCATAAGTACACATTTTTTTAAATTTTATTCGTGTTACTAAGGTATAGAGTGGTATAAAATTTACACGTTTATTTTAATTAATAACTAATTGTTTACTAACTTTATCGGACTAAAATTAATTAACACATTTCTCCCAGCCATTCAAAACATATATGATTGTACAATTGGTATCGAGGGCGGATCCAGGATCTATTTATGGAGGGGTCACTTTTTTTTTTTAATTTGAAACTTTGTGAGCACAATTAGTTACAATAATTAATTATCCGTTATAAGAAATGATAGTTAAAATTATGAAAAAACAATAGAGAAAAAATAGAGAGGAAAAACAAAATACAATATATATCACAAAACCAGACTGATTGATGAATTAAATAATTTATAAGACGATATGAAATATTTGTAAAGAAAGAATCAATTTTGGATTAAAGGAGAAATCATAGTAATTTATTGAGGCAGAGAGAGCCTAAAGTTGAGGGATAACAGGAGGACAAGGAAAAAGAATATGGGAAATATTGCAAAACGACTTACTTTTTGACCAACAAGATTCAAAATGCAACAAAAAAATCTCTAGATATTTTTTGTTTCGAGTAATATTTCTAGTAGAAAACATAATTCGCAAAAGTTAAAAACGATGAAATCGGTATAACGTTGTGGCACGCCGTAAATATTTGCCGTTTTACGTAGAATTTTGTTTCCGATTTTTCCTAATTATCTCGAAACTCCATGGAAAATCAAAAAAATGACCTCTCTAAAGTATCAACTAGATAAAATATCCTTTCAGAAAATTTGTTACACTTAGTATATTAGAGCGAGATTTCTGGTATGAAAAAAAAAATAAACATCATTGTAAAAACCAATGCAATTCTTGCTATGCCCCGAATCTAAAAGTTTTTAATTTGAAATAGAATCAAGGGCTTAATATGATAAATTGTGTTTACTCAAATATATAAGGTAGGTACTTATGTGTTTGAATCATATTTTATCGTACACAGTTTATATTATATATTTATGTATTTGTCTCGAATAATATAATTGTTTAATTTTTTAACGAACATTAATGGTTTTATGCAAATTAATATCAAAAATGTGTAGAAATTTCGAGTAGTTGTAGTATAACATTTTGTTTGTATAACATTGTTTAGATAATATTATAATGTCTGCGTTATTAGTATTTTTAATGAAAAAAAAAAAGTAATTCCTTACAATTTAGCACTTGAAGCTTTTAATAAATTTAAATTTTGGCTTTCTCTACCATATTCAACGTTAAATAAGTTTTAACTACAAAATTATTACACCTCTATTCATAATTTTGTGAATCATAAATCTACTCCTTATATTACTATACAAAATGCTAATAGTTTACAAGTAAAAAATTCTTATGTAAAATTATGTTGGCACGAAATTCTATATTTTGGATTACTTATAGGTGCTAATAATTCTGTACCTGCGATGTAGTTTGAATTTTTATATTTTTTATATAATTTTACTATTTATATTTCTAAAAAGTAAAGTCTGATGATATATGTATTTTTTTATCGAACTTGTATCGAAAATATTAAAAATAAATTGCATACACTACGTCAAAACGAAAACAAACTATTGTATAAATCAATAATTTCCGGTGCAACTAATTATATTATAATCATGCGGCAGATGTTTTGAAAAATTCAAATGGATTTTAAATTATTTATTGTTGTACGGTTTTTAGTATGATAGACGTCATATTTATAATTATATATTGTTTATAAATTTATATTTTAAAATATAATTTTGAATGGATTTTATTTTATATTTGGGGTTTTCTTTATGACCTTATGGATATACACATACGAGGAGTACGTAATAATTATTTACGAACTACTAATTTATCAAAAATATTAACAGTACCATAGCAAATATAATATAATATTATATAAATGTAATACAAAATTGACACTTCGGTAGTTAGGTATATAATTAATCAAACAATTTTACATATTAATTATTATTAAAATTAATATATCAACATGACAACGTTCTAATTTAAGTAATAATAACGAATGAGTTGTCAAACAGTACATTTATAGTAAAGAGCACATAATTATAATACGATACTACATGGTTACAATTGTATCATGTAACATAGCTATAGAAACATTATCAATCATTTTTTTTTTCCAGTCAATATTTACTCGAAGACCTGACCTTTTGATATTCGTAATATTAATAACTCAGGCGCCATGTAGTTGGTGACATTTTATGTAGTCGTCTGCTCTTTTTAAAAAAAAAAAAACTTTTTTTTTTCTTTTGGCATATTTAATGCGTTCATAAAATTTATTGTCAAACTGTATTTCATCAAAAAGTCTATGAGAAATGCTCGAAATAATATAATGTTATAGTACAAATATATCTCAGTCTATATGCGATTTAGACATGAGACAGAAAATAATTGTTTGCTTTCAGAATTATTTTGAAAGACAACTCAGATTTGTCTTTTTATATTAGTTTTACAACTTAGAAAAAAAAAATCAAACGGATGCGAATGCATTGTGGGTATTATAATTATTTATGCTAGTGACTAGGTGGTATAGTTTTAAATAAAATAGATGTAATAATAAATAACTAAAGCCTTAATAAATTTGCTATAAAAAAATAACACAAACGAATATATACTACTTGATAGATATCAACTTGTAATGCAATGTAAATATTATACATGATGTTGAATAAATAAATTTCAAATTTCAGGTACTTCGTACGATGGGTGGGCCACTGTTGTAGGTGAGAAGTTGGGAAGATAGAGGAGAAATTTAATGTATATTTGTACACAACGATTAATTATTGCTAACAAAAAACAATTCTGAGCGGAGTTCGGTTATACATGTTTTGAAAGGCCGTTATATTTAACATTTGAAAATAATATACTTCATAAATTTTCCCGTTTTCCCTAAGTTTTTCCCATTTATTATGAAAAATCTAAGAAAATCAAAAATTGACCTTCTTAAATACCATTTTAGTCAGATTTTATTACAGAAAAAGTGTTGCACTTGAAAATCGGAGTAAGATTTCTGGTAAAAAACTAATATCCAGATTTAAAAAAAAAAAAACTTATCATTACATGGATATTACCCTAACCTATATGCAATACCTATACGAATTATCTAAACTTATATAGTTAATTTATCTAGTTTATATAACTAAATTATCATTGTCTTAAACTTAACTTACGAGTAATTACTAAAATTATTTATATTTTAACATTAACTTTAACATAACTTAGTTATTTTTTTTGTTAGGATAACTTAATAAAAACTAGTTAAGTATATATTAAGTATATACTATATCGTATCGTATTATTTATTAATTTTTACTATTTACCTTTATCTCACATTCGATTTGTATATTCACTCGTAATTTGTATGCAATTATTGTTTAATGTTTAATGGGTTAATGTACATTTTTATAAGTTCACGACTTAAATACAAAAAAAATTAAACCCGATTATGTTATACACAATGTATTAAGAAAAATTTATTTTTAATGTTAATTTTAAATTTATTTAGTTTTTAGTATAACTTATTGGTAATACTTGTTCACCCACAAATATAGATATGTGACGTTCAACTTTAATAACGATTTTTTTTAGCTTAAGATTTATTTATTTTACTTAAACGAAGGATCATTTCAAAATGAAATGGCATTGTCGGAAGGAGGTCTTTACGTTCCCCACGGGTTTCTGAACTGATGCGGTTAATCTGTGCCCCTCTTACTTTGTTGCCAAGTACTACGCGTCTGCAACGATGGTAATATAGTTACAACACAATACACGAAGAGTATAATACATTTATAAACCACATCAGTATAATACAGGTAGTAATGTTTCATTAAACATACTTGAATTATTTAATTTTAAGTAGGTTTGCCTTTAGCTTGATATAATATTTAAAATAGTTTTAAAAATTTCAATAAATTCAAGACGAGTCAATTTTATAGTACTTTAATCAAAGTTTAGCATTCACCAAAGCTACGCAATTTATTGTGCAAACAAATTGTTAACTATTATTCTTACGTGAGTATGGATTTTTAAATTTATTTTTCTTGTTTTGTTAATTTTAGCAGTGTAGCAAAGAATGTATTGGTTTTACTAAGATTTTTTTTTTAAATTTTTTTTCTGTGTACAAAAATTAGACTATAAATCTTGCTCAGATATATACGCGCGGTACCATTTCCGAAAGGGAATGTTGTCCAGATGATATTTTTAGGAAGTTATTTTTTTGATTTTCCAAGCGGTTTTCATAATATCTGGGAAAAACAGGATAAAACGTAAGAAAAACGGGAAATGTACGAAATTAATGCTTTATTACTTTATCAGTTTTGTTATTTATTGTAAATTGTTATTTATTTTCAGTTATAAATATTTGTATCAAATCTATGGACTTGAAATTCGGACAAAAAATGTATACTTGCCTTTTGTAGACGTTGTACAATTTTCAAAAAATTTAAGTCATTTTTGAGCTTTTGATAGACATTTTAATTTTGCTAGTTTTGTACGTAATTTTTATTCGGTAGGTACTCTGTGGTACAATTGTTAAACTTAACAGAAATGCTTGAAATTTTAACAGAAGGTTCATCAAATCTTACTTGGTGGTAAAAAAAAAAAAATTTAGTTTTATTTAGTATTTGTTTTTATAAAGGAATTTTGACACTATATTTTGACGAAAATTGTTTGAGTAGAAAATTATGCGGAACAAATCTAATTTTTCAATTTTTTTTTTTCGAATATATGTGTATTGCTGATTTAAAAAGGATGATAATGTCAGAATTAAGCAGATTGACTAAGTTTTGAAATTATAGCTTTTTGAAGTTTAGATATTATGCAGATATTACATTTTTATGATAAATAATTCTATATTGTCTACTTTACTATACGTTTGTGGTAGTCGAATGGTCATGAATACGTATTGTCATCTTAAGGGTCGTGGAATTCGGGGTTTGAAAAGAAGTTGTTTACACTTTTTTTTTCCTTTCATCTAAATAAGGAAAAAACAAATGCATTTTAAGTGTATCTAGCTATCGCTCGCTCGGACGATTTTAATCGAAAAATACCCCTCGATATGTTGTGAAAACTTTTCTACCGGAAATTTTGCTCCTATGTATCAAACGTAGCTTATTTTTTTAAAGGAAATTTTATCTCCATGGTTTAGGGAGGTCATTTATGTAATTTTTCTGTTGGTTTTTCTAATAACTGGGAAAAACCGGGATATAATGCCGGAAAAACGGAAAATGTACGAAATGTAGGTATTAGTAAAAAAATATTACGATTTTTTTTCTGTCTACAACTGTTTTTCCAGCAATTTTGTTCCGATTTATAATGATAGAACTTTTTTTGAAAGTAAATCTGACTGGCAAGGTACCTTAAGGGCATATTTTGATTTTTTCAAGAGTTCTCTTAGCAAATGTGATAATCCGGGAAAAAATGTATAAAAACCGGGAAAAACGCAGCAAAAACGGAAAAATCGATATAATATTAAACAAATATCATTAAAAAAAATATATAATGCCAATTTAATTATTTTACTACAATATAACATATATATTGTTGATAAAGCATCACTATCAACTGAACTGCGCTCAGAATCGTTTTTTCGTTAACAATGGTTTATCTTTGCTTACAGATATATATTAAATTACATGTAACAGTTGCTGCACCCGTCTTCATTATCTTAGGACGTCTTTTTTTTTTTTGGTTTTATAATATAATCATCGTGGTTCTCTCTACTATATGTTCGTGCAACATTTTCTATTCATAGTATTTTTCATCAAATACGAAAATGTTTTTTATTTGATTTAAAAACGTATTGCTAAACGTGTCGTTTCGAGGACCACTTTATGAATAAATCCAATTCCCAGCAATTTGTACGACAATAGAAAATAAAATACCATCGTTACTCCACAATGATAATTGTAATGAGCTATAGATTTGTCAGACGTGTTTTTTTGTTATACTATGTATGTTATATACGTTTCCTCATACACATATATAGTGTTCCGTTTAAGTGGGTACACTACTATACTCATTATCTCAGAAAGTAATACCTTTTTCGGAATTTGTTTTATAAAGCATTTAAGAAACAAGCAGCTCTACAGTTTTAAGTTTATTTTTTTTTCACCCTTAATTTTAGGCGTAAAACGATTAATTACTTTTGATTTTTCAAATGGTAACCTATACTAAAAATTCCATAAATAGATTTAGTATTTCGGTGTTGAAATGATTGATTTCTATTAATCCGTTGATAAGATATTCTACATTTAGAAGTTCGAGTAGGATATGTTAGTTTTGCATCATTTGTATGGCAGTACGGCGTGCAGCGTCTTAATAACGCACCACTACTTTCCCTCGACACAAACTTAAAAGTGGAATATCCCGACAACGGATTGACGGAAATCAAACATTTCAGCAGAAAAATTTATTTTAACTAATACTCTATCTACTTATGGAATTTTCAGAATAAGTTACCATTTATAAAATAGAAAGTAGATATATTGGTTTTACACGCAAAAATAATGGTGACGAAAAATAATATAAGTGTTAAGTATGATAAGTATTTATAAGTACTTATAAGTATAAGTATAGTAGAGATACTTGTTTCTTAAATGGTTTTTAAAACAAATTATGAAACAAATTAATACTTCGTTCCTAGATAATGAGTGCACCCACTTAAATGGAACACTCTGTATACATATATTAAAAAAAGGGTAATTAATAATACAAGATTAAGATTTATATTGTATATTTGTATTTTGTTCTGCTTATTAATTATGAAATATATGGATAACATTTTTAGTCTGTACTATAAAACAGTTTATTGGGTATTTTTGGGGGCTCCAATTTAAATTTGGGGTGCTAAAGACCCTCTAGCGCCCCCTAGTTGCACCTATGGTTAAACTACCTTATAAATTGAACGTAGCCGTACGAAATTAATGGATTTGTTCTCACATACGTAGAATCAGAGTATTATTAGAGTAAAGCTTAATTTTTAACAAGTTTAAATCTACGAGTACAACATTTAAATTCAACGTGACCATTCAAGACTGGTCAACCATTGATAAACTGTACAAATTATACTTTCCTCATATTTTTTTAAATTCGTGACGTTTGTTCGTAAACTTATAGTTCTTCATGTACAAATTTACAATTTATTAAGAATTATTATGAGTACCTATATAAAATACGTATTATGTATGCCTATAAAGACATTTTCTAATAGCTATTAATTTTCATTAAATATATTTTATACTTTATTCTAATATATATTAAGCGATGCAAACGATAATGCGGCTATGCCATGATGAATTTGCCATTTTGTTTTTAGAGAATTATGAACATAATTTTCATAATATCATAATATTACGTTAAATATTTTTCGTTTATTTTTCATTTCTAAGATTATTTTATAATTTTTCGTTATTAGAAAATATATTAATACTGATATATATTTATTTGATAGATTATTTGTTAATGTATATAAAACATTACATTTGTGTTCGTTAACTTTGGGTAATTAACACAGCGTGTTATTAAATGTAATCGATAACTGTTAAACAGAAAAAAAAAATTCCTATTGACTTTATAATAATTAGTTAAATTATGAATTCAACATCGTTTCTTATATATCGTTTGTTTTTGACGTATTTTTCGATCCGCGGAATAAATGGAGCTATAAACTTTACAAC